GCCTCCCGGGCCGTGCGCGGCCGACTGGGGAGCCTGTGGCCCGACCCGCCACGGTCCGCCAGCGGCGAAAATAAAGGCTTTTGTTGTACGTGAGTCAGGAGTTGTCTCTGTGGAAGCGGCCGTCGAGCCCTGAGCCGAATAACCGAGGGAGCCCGAGTAAGCGCCGCGAGCGCTCGCTGGCGCCGGAAAACGCCGGCGACTCTGTTCCGGGTCGGGCTTGTTCCGTCCCAGGCCGGGCTGCGGCGCCTCCACACACCTGCGCCCCCATCGGAGGAGCCGCTTCCGCAGGACCAGGCCCGCCGCCCTCGGGCCGCCCGCGCTCGGGGAGCGGGCCGGGAGCCTGCGGGAGAGACGGCGGCGCCTGGGTTCGCAGACCGGCTCCGTCCATTGAGTCTGCGGGGAGGCTCCTCCCCGTGGAGCGAGCAGGTCCGCGCCGCGCTTCGCCCAGTGGAGCTGACAGACAAGCGGAAGGAAGCCCGGGTCCGGAGGGAGCTCCGAGGTTCCCCGCTCCTCAGGACAGGACTCCGGCCTCCGCCACAGTCTGGACGGAAGAGGACAGACGGCGATCAAAGGCCCACGGGTCCCGTCACCTCTGGCTCCAGCGAACGTGACGGGACCTTTTCCAACCGGCTGGGCCGGCAGACAAGCCCTCAGGCTTCTGTGCCTCGGCGTGAGGCCACCTGCCCTGCGCCTGTGGGATGGTCTTTGGTCTTTCCTTCTGGAATCACGCCGCCTCCTCCTCCTCCACAGGCTCCATCAAGCCGAGTCAGGCACAGCGCTCCCAAGGTTGCAGATCAATCCTGACCTAAAGCTCCGCGCTCTGGGAGAGGAATCCTGTGGGTGTCCCGTCAAATGGGGGACAGTGACCCAATGTGGTTCTTAATACGGAACTTGTCTCACTCACTCGTGGGTGATACTTCACTTCTCGACACATCCCTGTTTTTATCCTCCCTTTCCAAGCTCCACGACAGGAACAGTAACGCGATCTCCTAGTGGCCCTCTTCAGACCGCTTTTAAGGAACGTGAGCCTGGTTGGTTCAGATAGGAAGTTAGGGATTCTCAGGGCCCCGCGTTTCCTGGGACCACTGAACTTCATTCAGTTCCTTGAAGGTCGCAAGTTCCATGTTACATTTAACGTCTGGGAATGATATAGAATTCTCTACTTGAAACATTAAAAAAATTAAACGTAACAGACACACTTAAATGTTTTCCAGGTTAGGGGTAAGTTCCATATCCTAAGTCCTCAGGTCCTAGCACAGAATGCCTTTGTCGTACTCGGTAAAATCCGGCCTAATAGTATTTTAAACAGATTCATTCTTGCAGATGTTGCCTTTGGAGGAGACTGAGCAGCGCCTTCAGGGGGAGCCAATGTACAGCCATGGGCCAGAGCTCATCCGCGTGGTCTGTGTGCTTACACACCTCTGGGCAGTACCTCCTTTTTGTTTTCTCTTTTTTTTTTTTTTTTTTAACATTTTATTTATTTGACAGACAGAGATCACAAGTAGGCAGAGAGACGGAGGGAAGCAGGCTCCCCACTAGGCAGAGAGCCTGATGTGGGGCTCGATCCCAGGACCCTGGAATCAATGACTTGAGCCGAAGGCAGAGGCTTTAACTCACTGAGCCACCCAGGTGCCCCAGTACCTCCTTTTTCATTCATTCCTGACAGCCACATACATCACAAGCCCACGCAGATTCCAGGAACCAGAATCTCTTAAGAATTCTGCCTGTGTCTTCCATAAATAACAAATAATTTAAGGGAAAAAGAGGTCAGTACACCTGTGGAAAGGAAGTTAGAGCGTCATCCTCAGGAGCTGTTGATGGGAAGACCAGCTGGGTTCCAGCGCCTTGTTTGGACCATAACACTAGTATAAGAAGGACGGCAGCACAGCTAACATGGGTAACGGCTACATTTATTTTATACCAAAAAAGTTATGTGCAACAAATAAACATTCTTACATATTTACATTTTTTTTTTTTTTTTTTTTTTACCAGTTAGCAAAACTGTCCTAAATCTCTGATAAAGAATATCTCTATCTATAGTAAAGGGGGAAGTCTGCCCAGTGAACTCCACTTTAAATGAGTGTTTGCTCTGGAGCTTAAAGCACGAGTAATAAATATTTTTGATGGAACGTACTATACAGATCATACACCTAATACTTAGGCCATGCTTAATACAGTTTTATTACAAAACATTTTACCTTTTCTGGGCTCATTTGTGGGGAAAAAAAATTAACCAAGTAGCCTGGATTCCCACCCCTGCCTCTCCTGTTTTATTGAAGGGGAGAGTTCTCACAGATTAGGAATCATAAGTGCTGCCTAAAATGTCTGAATAGAAATGTTCCACCAATGCTTGCATGTTGGGGGAAAATACAGGAGGACAAAGGTTGCATGTTAGGTATTCCTTCCCAAATAGGTTACCAAAAATGATAGTGGATTTCTTGTTGGCGTTTGTATAACACAAGTTTTCAAGACAAGATTTGTCACCTTTTGCTCATGTCAAGTGTTGGTTCCAATCGCAGTTCAGAAGTAGTCACTGAAGATAACTGCACTTCTGATAATCTTGTAAATGAAATACAAGCAAACTAAACCCAAGAAATTGTTTTAATTTCACTGGAATCTTGGTCCTATATCCTACTGAGTAGGGTCCAAAGATCTCTTGTACCAAACGACAGATCTTCGTCTCTGTATGAAAATAGTCAATGCTTTCAACATCTTTAAAAGTAACAGATTTAGAGTGAGGTGACATACATCAAGTAGAAGTAATTCCTGGCACACAGCTGGTTAAACCTGAGTTATTTCACCAGTTTACCTTCGTGGAAAGCACCTAGCTGCAGTGAAAAACAATGAAATCCTCCAAACCACCTAGATTGCCTAGAATTTGTCATCTAACACCAGTTTCTCTTATTTCTTCAAATGTTACAACTACCAAGTAAGTAAGGGGCTTCATTTGTTATGACAGATTCCCCAAATCAAGAAGCGTGGAATTACTGCAAAGCCCAGAAATCCAATCCCGCCCCCACCCGCCAAATTTGTTCTTCGGTGTTGGTGGCTAGTAATGTTGCAATTTTTAAAATATTGGGTCTAAAATAGTCCTAATAGTCCTCGTAGTTTATAGCATGGTGTTTTCTCCTTGGGGTGGAAGAGAGGATGGAGAAGGGAGCCTAAATGCTTCCACCGGGGTCCTGCTGCTTACAGAGATGCTGGCATTACGATGCTGTTATTTGAGGCAGCACACCATCATCGCTCAGTGAGAAAAAGGGTATGAATTCTACTGGGGTCACAGGAACGTTGCAGAAATTTTTGTACGACTAAAACAGTGGTGTTTTCCCCAAGGCTTATTAGGAAAGCAAAGGAAAACCTGGAGGGTCTGGCTGAACAGGTTTACGTTTTATCATATGAGAGTTGAAGACATTTGCAAGAATGCAGCATCAAGACAAGCTTTAACTATACTCTGCTGATTGATACAAAATATGATGAAAAACCATTTTAAATTGGGACACGAGGAACTTATTTAGGACAACCAGTGTTATATATACCACAGAAGTCTTCACTGTTAACCATTTCCACTCTAGCTTAGAAGACAGAGCCGTGAGCTGCGTGGCAGGACTGGAAGCACTCTACAAAGATGACCTCTGGACATCATGACTGGACAAGGTCTTCAGTGCTAGGACTTGTTTCTCCATAGACACCAGATATCCAATTCAATGCTTTCTGGAGTTCATTCACTACAGAAACAAGAACAATACATACATAATAAAACAGGCATTGGAATATTCACATTCATGGGAAAACACAAGCCTGGAAATCGGAGTTCGGCTTTTACAAAACTGGGTAAAACTGGTTGAAAGTTCATTACAATTCAGATGTTACACCTGCCTTGGGCCAGAAAGATAAACTGCATCAATTAGGACAGTTAGGTGGAAACTGCTGAACAGCTGCTGACTCCACACATTATGGGTTACAGAGCAGAACCTGTCCCCTCCCTTCAAAAAGAAGGCTCATTCATGAAAGCACTCAAAAGTTACCGGTCTGTTTTTAACATAATGATGAGACTAACTGGAAGCAAAAACATTGCTACTACTTCTCCTCTAAGGAATAAAATGATCATACAGAACCTTTCTAGAGAATAATGCAGGTTTTCTACTTCATGGTAAGAGGAAGGAAGGACACTTCTGCCCAAGTTCAACACACAAAATATTTGGTTTGAGGTTTAAGACAGAAGGCACTTTTAACATTCTGATAGAAGGTGTTAACCATAAAAGCATACTGTTACAATTTCATTTGGGTTTATTCACATCACCTTTAAAACCTAGGCATTTGCGTAGTTTCTAGAAAGAGCAGTGACACCGTTAGTGTACTTCGCCTTCAGATGTTCCTACCTGCACTACTCCCGATGGAGCAAACTCAGAAGCGCATCAGCCCTAAGATTTACCGATCTAATACTGACTCTAAAACAATTAAGTTAGACATCCAATTAGTGCAGGATGAATCGGAAAATACTACAGGGCGACCCAAGAGCGATTCTACTCTGGAGCAACGGGGCTTCTACTGGCTATTTCAAGGTCCTAATACTGTTTGGTTGGCTGGCACCAATGTGAAGGAAAACTTCTGCATGACAATTCAGCTACTGTAAGAGGTTTTACCTAGAAATGCCATATCAATGTTTCCAGCTTTTCTCCAAAGAATTCTACCCACTTCCCCATCTTTAGTGTCCTGAAGACCTTGGATGTGAAGGTCTGGTCATATGACTCATTTTCTAAGGTTATAATTGATCCAGTTTTATGACTAGACACAAGCTTGACTTGAATGTCCAAATTTAGCTTCTTCCTTTCCAAGGAAGGAGATGAAAGGGAACCAACTACCCTATGATTTTGCTGTCAGTACTCCTCACAAGATGCTCCGTTCGGACTTACTATTTTCACTATTTCTTCAGTCAACGTTGGGCTGACAATTCTTCATCGCTACACTTCAACTAAACTGTACAGTAAGTTCTGCAGGGATGGATCCAATATTTCTACCTTTATTTACAAATATCACATAAATGGATTCTAGTTGAATCTACATGTTTAAATCCATCGGCTAAAAACATATTACATATTGTAAACATGGCAATATTTAATACAGTATCTATTCTAAAATATTCTCATGTCATGATCACATTTGTTATACCTGAAATTGAATTTATACACGTTAGAGAATTACTAGCAATGGTCGCTCACTTTACAATCAAGGGCAGGGGGCTAGGGCTATATTTTATTATTTCGGAAACATCTTCAAAGTAAAGTTAAAGCTTGTCTTTGATTGGCTCGGCATATCGTTTTTTCTTTTCTTTTTTTGTATCCATATTCAAAATGAAGATTGACACAGAAAATAGCTAGGGCCCCTTCTAATTTACAGGATTTTTAAAAATCAGTTTGAGATTCTTAGGGAGAGTGTCTGTTGTGAAGAATTAAAAAAACAAAACAAAACAAAACTGCTGCAAAAGAACCCTAATGGGAAAGGGGGCTCAGCGGCCAGTTCGGAGTTTGTCCGTCCGCGGTCAGTCCTGCTTAGGCTGCAGCTGCCGCTTCCAGGCCTCGTTCAAGTAAACCAGTCGCTTGTAGTTGATGATGAGAAGAACGAAGTTCAGCACGTACGTGACGACGCAGATGAGGCAGAACTCCTTCAGCACAAAGTACAGGATGTAGGCCAGGTACAGGGAGCCCACCACGGACACAATGGAGGACGTCATGAGGACTAAAGCTGCCACTGCGCTTGCGGTCATGCCTGCAAGGGGAGAGACACGGCTCAGTCAGGCCTTGATGACGGAGAAAGTCTCGGAGTCAAAAGCAAGCATTCTGCCATCTGCTGCAGTGCTGGAATGCTGATTTTACTGAAACACGCGATGGAATTTGGGAGCGAAAACGACTGGTCTGGGGAGATTCTGCACGCTGACTCTGCACACAGAGCACCAGTCTTGCGGCCGCAGTGTTTCTCACTTGTCAGTATTCTAGGTGAAGCATCATTACTTGGACCATGAACGGGCCTTAGTTAAGCCCTGCCAAGAGCATATGCAGGCTCCGAGTCCACAGTCGGCCTGAAGCTCACCTGCGAAATCGGCAGCCCCGCCACTGAGGCCCCTAACAGAGAAAGGAACATGAGGACCACAGCTTCTCTCCCAAGCAGGACACGCTGCCCCTGGCCTTTTCACTGCAGGCTCTCCATCTGTGGGCACTAAATCCTGTCTTCCCAAGTTTAGGTCCAATTTTTTAAAAAATCTGCAATGTTTAGGTCAAAATTTTCAAAAACCATACAAAGATGATTGTACCAATACGCTGCTAAACAAGGAAAAACTTGTAATAAACATTTCAGAAAGGGCTTAGCCTAGGAGGTAACAAGCCACGTTTGGCCGGTTGGCCACATGTGGGTCAAACCAGACCAAGAAAAAAGGCGGTTCTGTGCGCTGAACTGGGGATCTCTGATGCTGTCTGACATCTTCATGTGTTCTGTTCTGTAATTTCCTGCAGCCAATGGTCGTGGGAACAAGAGCATTTATTCCCAGGGACAGAGGAGACAGCCGGGCATATTAAGCTACCATCCCTCCCAACAACTAATGGACAAGGAGAACACAAACAGGAAGAAATGATCGGTGGTAGGAGGCTGGAAGAGGTTAATGAAGGAGCTGAAATCCCCACTGCCTGATGACCAGAAGCTGCCTGTGGGCTCAGACCACGAAGGCTGGCCTTGCCCCCAGGCCCGGTCATGCTAGAGTGTGACCCTTCATAAGGCTCTTCACGGCTAATGTACTGCCGGATTCCTGATGCCGGGGACTGGCCAATCCAACCGGCCCCCGCTCTTATACCTACAGACTGACCGACCGAGCCGCGCTCACTCATATGTAATATCTAGGACAGACTGAGTAGCTCAACAGATAGCAAAGCCTATACCGTTTTTTTCTGTCTGGCCCTTTACTAGTTATCTAAACCTTCAAAAACTAATGCTGTCACCTTAATTTTACCAAGAGGGTTGGTTTCAACATGATGGACAAGTTTACTTACTTTCTCACCTCCTAACACCAATGTGTGAACTAAAAGAGCTATTGGGCGGGCGCCCAGCTGGCTCAGCCAGTAAAGCATGGGACTCTTGATCTCAAGGTTGTGAGTTCAAGCCCCACGTTGGGCCCAGAGCTTACTTGATGAATGAATGAACCAATGACTGAATGAATGAGCTAAAAGGTATAAAGCACTTTGAATGCTCCATAAACACTGGCTATTAGTTAAATACCATTTTGTACCCAACCTGTCCTGATGTGATATAGCTGGTGGCTTGGGATACAATTCCCAGTGGAATTTACAAGGTGCTGTGCCTCTAAATAATGACGATCCCATCAAGCAGCAGAACATTCTGCAGCTGGGAAGAAGAGTGAAGACACTCATGGATTGCTGTGGAAATACCACCACGATGAATTAGTTGACCAAAAAAGAAAAAAGAGTATGTAGAACATTATGTACGGCATCTGCCTTTTACATTTGAGAGAGGAGAAAATGAAGATGATAGGTTTGTGTCTTCTTGCACAGGCCTAAAGGAAGTACAGCAACAACACGCAGCTACCAGCTGGGGTTGAAAGGCTACGAAGTGGGCAGAGGGGGCAATGGTCAAGGGCAGGCTTTTCACTGGGTGGCACTTTACATGTTTGTACTTTTGGACTCGTGGAAGTATTACCTATGAAAAATTAAATTAAAAATGCTGTATCTCAAACAACTTAGAAGAAGGGAGTGAAGATGACGTGCTCTGGAAAACCATGTTAGAGGAGTCTGCGTGTGCCTTCCGTGTGCCTCCTGACATTATAAATGCTTCATGTGAACACACAGAATGCAAACAGAAAAAAACACATAGGATACACATGATTTAAAAAAACATATATATAAGGAAATTCAGAAATTAAATATGACAAATGGAAATTTGTTCCATCTCTATCTCCAAAAATTAACATAGTCAAAAGTGTTTCTTACGCTATTTTAATTTCGGCCTATATGTTATATTCTTCTTTAGAAATCCAAATGAACAAATAAATGGAATAAAAAATAAAAGTCTCACCCGGGCCCCCAACCACTGACCCTTTTTATATGCATTTCTATGCATATATATAAACATAGAACTTCTCTCATACCTGTTATACTACAATTTGCTTTTTTCACCAATCTATGTCTTGATCTTTCCAGAATATTCATGTAAGACCTACTTTTTCCTTTAATGGCTACATAGTATTTTCTAGTACAGGTGTAACCTAATTTATTCAGCCATTACATTTTGCTAAGCTACTTCCAGTCTTTTGCTATTTTATACTGCTATGAATATCCTTATGTATATTTTTGTATTTCTATAGGATATGGAACTGGGTAAACCTGATAGAAGTATTTAGAAAAATTTAGATTCATAATTTCCCTCAAAAGAAATCAACCTCAGCTAGGCAGGAGAGCACCGCAGAGGTGGCAGGTAATGGGGTAAAATATTAACGATGGAAACCAAAGATCAAAATTGGCTGGATTTAACTCTGAAAGTATAAAAAACTGTACAATCAAAATTCACCAAACTAACACAAAAAGGACAAAGAATGGATAAAATGTAACAAATATGAAAATGGACTATTATCAGAACCCCAACAACAAAAGTGACAATGCCAGAAAAATTAAAATAAAATGATGGGGATTTGTAACTATTAAATTAGAAATTTTATGGAAAGCACTTGTAAAAAATGAAGATGGATGAAGTCAGACAATTGAGGGAAAAGTAGTTTGGTAATACGTATTAAAGTCCATTAAATATTTTGTGTGTTTTGGCTCATTCGCCCAAGGTTTGGAAATTTATTTTGCAGAACTAATTCAAACAGGGAGGTGTGTGTGAGGGGCACTTTAAACAAAGTTGATCAGCACAGTGTTATGTAGAACACAAGAAACTTGAAACCTTGATGTCAACAATAGCAAACACCAGAGAGGAAACAGCATGGAAGAGTTCACATACAGTGAAGTGAAAAGAGCAGAAGACAATGGACACAGCAGGTGTGTAAAGGTGATGAGTTACATCTAGTGCTTACAGTAATGCTCTCTCGGGGTGTGACATGTTTCAGGAATCTGCACAGTATATAAACTAATAAAAAAGTTTCTGGGGAAGACTGGAAGAGTAAGTTCCCTGAATGAGGATGGTTTTTCCCGGACATTATGGGATACTGCTGTCCTTGATTAAAGACCAACAGATACCAAATTCAGCATTAGCATCATCAAAGTCTCAGTGAACCAAATTTTCACAGCAGAAAAATGTGCTGCAAACTAGCGGTTCTATCATTAACATGCTTTTATTTAATATAAAGACATTTCAGGGCAAAGACACAAAGTACTAAAGGGAATATAACAAAACAAACTTATTTTTGTATTGCTGTGTAAATACTTACCAAGTAATAACTGTAGTATATAAAATATAAGTCCAAAGACACTGTTTGGCTGGTTTAATACACCATCCTTTCCAAAAATGGAACCCAAAAGACCAAATCCTCGACCCCATCTGTAAAATAAGGAAAACCAGTAACCCCATTTTGAGTCTTCCTATTTTTAGAAATGTAAAATTGTCTGAGAATGCCATGCCAATATACCCATCTGAATCTCTAAGTTGCCTATTTCTACATATTCTCTTATCCAAAAGGTAGGATGGAAGTATGTTTTTTCTGATGGCATTAGTATTTGCAGAGGAAGGGCTCCATCAATTTAAGCCAGTCCCTTCGCAGCATCACCACTGACATTTTGGGCTGAAGAATTCTTTGCACTTGGGGGCTGTTCAGTGCATTACAGGGTGTTAGCAGCAGTATCCTGGGGCTCTCCCCATGAGGTGCCAGTAGTATTCTCCCACCAGTGAAATGTCTCCAGCCATTGCCAGATGTCCCTGGGGGAGCAAAATCTCCTTCAAATGAAAGCTGCTGACTTAAGCTGCTTTATTTCTTCATTCAAAGTATGTGGAGCGCAGGGGCACCTGGGTGGCTCAGTCGGTTAAGCATACGACTCTTGGTTTTGGCTCAGGTCGTGATCTCCTGGGTCGTGGGATCAAGCCCTGCATCGGGCTCCACACTCAGCACAGAATCTGCTTGGAATTCTCTGCCCACAAATAAGTAAATAAAAAAATGAATAAATAAAATCACAAAGTATGAGGACCGAATGTTGCTTCCTGACAAATTTCACCAGGATATGCAACAGGAAACATATCTTAGGAACATATTTGTAAACACAGAACAGTATCAGAAACTACAGGTCCTTTCTAGAATCATAACTCAAGAATAAAAAACCTGATATACAATTTGCCCTGTCACTTTTTATCTGCAGTTTAACTTCAAATTTTGCATTTAATGTTTTCAGAATCTTATTTTCCTGTTTTTAAGAAAGATTATTTCTGATTTAATAAAATTTGACTCAAATATCAAACTACCATTTACTCTGGATGAAAACCTTTGAAGATAACTTTAACTCTGAACGAGAATGCTTTTTGAAAATAAGAAAGAAAACAGCAGTCGTGGTTTCAAGTCCGTAGCGAAGCACTGAATGAAACCTGAACTTTGCTTTGGAATACAAACTACCTGAAAACAAGGAAAAGTAAGTGATTCTTTATTTGTCACATGAGCTTAATAGTGTCCAAGAAAGGGTGAAACCGCTTTATAATGATATTGGGAGGGAAGAGCGACCCTGATTTTACAAGCAAGTGAGAGCCCTGAGGATTTTTATCGTCCAGAGTCCTCCACCTGCACATTCTTGTGCGCGTTCTAGGTGCAGGTCACGGGCCAGGTGCTGGGATACAGGAGTGAACAAGTTGGAGAAGGTGGTTCCCTTGTGGGGCTTTGATTCCATTTGGGGAGGAGAAGCAGTGAGCATGGAAACAAATGACAAAGTCTCCTTCAGAAACGGATGAAACTACTAACAGACCTGCAGGAAAAGTGAGGGCAGAGTCATTCCAGACCAGAATTGGTAAATTCTAAAAATTTAGAATGCACACAATCATCTTGGGGTCTCATTAAAATCCAGGTTTTCCTTTAGCAGGTCTGTGGTAGGACCAAGACTGCATTTCCAAACCAAACCAAACCAAATGCTCCCGGCTCGTGCTTCTGGCGGAGGACCACACTCTGGAAGGGAAGGGGTGGCGGGAGCTACTCTAGTAGACGATCCGAGATGGCCTTTTTCAGGAACCATGTTTTGAACTAAATCCTGCATGATGAAAGGCAGCCAGTCTCTTGAGGAATGGCAAGTACAAAGGCCTTGAGGCAGGGAAGAGCTGTTCGTGTCCAAGAAGTGTGCGAGAAGGCCTCAAGGCTGACAGTGATGAGGGAAGAGCGGCAAGAGAATGAGGCACCCAATCATTTACAGCATTTATGGCCTTTTGCAGGCCTTGATAAAGAGTCTGAATTTTATTCGAATTGCAATGGGAAGACATTCGGTGGCTTTTAAATAGGAGACCAATACAAGCTTATTTATGATCACTCTTAACTACTGAGTAAGAAACAAACTGCAGGAGGGCCGGAGTGACAGGAAGAAACTCTATGCAATCAGGCTTCTCAGCTCTGCTCATCTGCAGTAGTAATTCAAATTAAATCACCACCTTTGGCAATGGACATAATTGAGCATGCTGCCCAAATCATCACGGGCAAACAGAATTTTTATATATTCCAAGCACTGGTCTAATTATTCACACAGGATCATGTTGGTATTTTCCTTGAAAACATGCAGAAACCCACAGAATATATCACTTTATCAAAGTGATACATGCATAAGGTTTAAAAATCAAATAACACCGAAAGTCTTACAAAATAGACTTCCCATGCTCCCGCCCTCTCTACACACAGTTCTGACTCCCCAGAGACAACCACTATGCTATCTTTAAACCTTTTTTTCCTATTTAATTCCACATTTCTAAAAGATTTTGTTAGTTGAGAGAGAGCAAGAGAAAGAGAGAGCACAGCCATGGGGAGAGGGGTAGATCGCAAGGGAGCAGCAGACTCCTCGCTGAGCAGGGAGCCTGATGTGGGGCTCAATCCCAGGACCCTGGGATCATGACCTGAGCCAACCAGGCGCCCATTAATTCCACATTGTTAAATAATATGCTCACATGGCTATTTCTTGATTTTTGAATTTTTTAAATTTAAATTCAATTTAGTTAACATATAGTGTATTATTAGTTTCAGGGGTGATTTCTAAATTCTAGTATCTTATGCCTTTCTAATATGGTAGACTAGAATGTCACTTTAAAAAAACACTGTGGGGGCACCTGGGTGGCTCAGTGGGTTGAACCTCTACCTTCAGCTCGGGTCACGATCTTGGGGTTCTGGGATTGGCCCCAAGTTGGGCTGTCCGCTGGGGTAGGGGGCCTGCTTCCCCCTCTGCCTGCCTCTCTGCCTATTTGTGATCTCTCTCACTCTGTCAAATAAATAAAATCTCAAAAACAAAACAAAACAACATTGTGGGGTAACCCTTTGGGTCCCCTCCCTCCTTGGGAGCTTTGTATTATCACTTTGCTACTGCTCAATAAACCTTGCTTTGCTGCCCCAAATAAACAAACAACAACATTGTTGAGAGCTTTAAATGTATATACACAAAGTTAACAGAACCATGTAATAACCTCATGCAGCTGTCGCCCAGCTGCGAAACCGAAACCGCACCTTCCGTCTCATTTCCACCTCTACCCAACTTACCACTTGAAGATCAATTTGTTACTCTTTAAGGAAAAATTTACATATATTTAATGCACAAATCTTAACTCTTCTGTAATTCTGATGAGTGGAACACCTGAGTTGTCCTGGTAGACTAATTCTGGAATACTTACCCACTAGTGTGAAAGGACAATTTAAGTACCTTTCCTAAACATTGAACAAATGAACACTCCAAAACCAAATGAGAGCTTCCATCTCCCCAAGTACATTGTTAGATCCTCATCAACCCACACTCTTCTTCACCTTTAGCATCAAACACTGGGCTGGTGAGGCTTACAGGAACCCAACTTCAAAACCCAAGTTAGATCTTGGGGTCTCCTGGATCATGGCACTATTTCCCTTAAGTCACATTCAAAGTTATAAAATACAATTACCATTCTAGCGTTTTCAAATGCACAGAACAATCACTTAATTCCTCAATGAATACAAGTAATAACATTTAATAAACTTTGATAAACTTCATGTTAAAACTGTTAGCAAGCCAAGTCACACGTGAGGTAGACTGGATTTACGTAAGATTATCTTCCTTGGAAAGGGGACGAAAAACCGATTTTCATAAATGACACTATACTTTAAAACTGCTAAGGGTGCTGTAATTTAAAAACCTTTAGTGAATTTTTTTCAAGATGGGACATTTGAAAATACTGTAGTTGTCCCCTACTTCTAAAAGCTATACTATATGAAACATATTTTATGCGCTAACTTTATTCCTGGCTCTATCTTAGTTTCTAACCATTTTTTCCTTGTTCTGTCTATACTCACAATTCTATTATATTACTTATCCTAAAGCTGCCCCAAGTAATTTATGGAAGGAATGAGATATTAACCAATTGAGCCAAAAGAAAAAATTTTTTAATGATGATTTTTGTTGGTCATTTTTTAAAGTTTTTTTTTTTTTTAATTCCAGTATAGTTAACATACAATGGGATACTAGATTCAGGTGGACAATACAGGGATCGACAATTCTGTACACCACTCAGAGCTCATTGTAAGTGCACTCTTTACTCCCCATCACCTGCCTACTTCACTCACCCATCTCCCCTCCGGTAACCATCAGTTTGCTCCTTATAATTAAGAGTCCGTGTCTTGGTTTGTTTTTCTTCCTCTTTCTCCCTTTTGCCCACATGTTTTGCTTCTTAAATTCCACGTATGAGTGAAATCATATGGTATTTGTCTTTCTCTGACTTATTTCGCTGAGACTGTACTCTCTAGCTCCATCCGTGTTGTTATAAATGGCAAAATTTCATTCCTTTTTATGACTGAGCAATAGTCCATTGTATATATATAGCACATCTTCTTTATCTAGTCATCTATGGTTTGGGCTATTTCCATAATTTGGCTATTGTAAATAATGCTCCTATAAACATCGAGGTGCATGTATCCCTTTAAATTAGTGTTTTTGTATTCTTTTTTTTAAAAGATTTTATTGATTTGACTGAGGGAGAGGGAGAAGCAGACTCCCTGATGAGCAGGGAGCCTGATGTGGGGCCCAAACCCAGGCCTCTGAGATCATGACCTGAGCCGAAAGCAGACGCTTAACTGACTGAGCCACCCGGGCCCTGTGTTTTTGCATTCTTTGGTCAAATACCCAGTAGTGTGATTGCTGGATCACAGAGTAGTTTTTTTTTTTCTTCTTTTAATTATTTTTTTTAAAGATTTTTAGGGGTGCTAGGTGGCTCAGTCAGTTAAGTGTCTGCCTTTGGCTCAGGTCATGATCCTGGGGTCCTGGGATTGAGCCCCACATCAAGGTCCATGCTCAGCCGGGAGACTGCTTCTCCCTCTGTCCTTCCCCCTGCTCAAAATAAATAAAATCTTTTTA